GTGTTTGGTTTTTGTGAGTTTGTTCAATGGTTGGTTAGTTTTTATTCCCCTTGTAATAATCCCTCATATGATCACGGTTATAATTAACACTCACGTCGAATTCTGACTGCTAAAGAAATTTAAACCTAAAAGTGAATTCTGCAATTTTGAATTTTGTACTCTTTTGTCAGAATAAAAACTACTAAGGTTAGCTAATCCAGTTGTAAGGTATCAAAGTTTTAATTCCAGTTCCTTTTCATCTCGAAACGTTTCCCACGGCGCATTTATGTTCATATTTTTTTTTTTTTTGAAATTCTTCATGATCTTAAACTCGAAAGGGGGGCGAAGGCAAACAAAAAAACTAGTGTCTCTGGAATGTCCCGTACAAGAGGGACACTCGATAATATGATTGACACAGGGAGAAAAGCTTAAAATTGTTTAATTAAGTCACCGCGAGTTTCTCAATGCTATCTCTAGTTGTATGTCAGCTTTTGAACAACAGCTATCGAACGTTCACGGTTTGCTGTTCAAGTTATATTTTCCAAGGTGAAGTATTATTCACAATTCAGCAAATGAATCATTGAAGAAGTTGCATACATTTTGTTTCCTAATCCAGCAAAAGAAGAATTTTGGAACGCTTACAGAAATTACAGATAGTCTGGTTCATCTTTGTAGAGAGGAAGGGTTAATCGCTTGCCTATAAAAAAAAGTGAAATGGAAAAAATTCTTAAACTTGTAGCTTTGGATTAAGAAATTAAAATTCTTCTTATTAGCGGGAATAGCAAGCTGAGTGAGCCCAAGTAATGAGTTACAGGATAAGCAGAAAACTAGGCCGTTTACTTGTCTGAGATTAAGAAACATTCATTCACCTTTTGGTGAAACTTTAAAACAACCAGCAAGAAATCCAAGTAATACCGACACATGGAGTGAACAATTTTGCATTAGAGAAAGTTAATTACGTCATCGTGACGTCATCATCCTGACATTTAAGAAGTGGAAGAGTGCACGAAAGTGATTCTCTGTGGCACAATTCAAACAAATATTCATGATTTTGCAATCAAAGCGTGTCTGGTTTTTAAACTCGCAATTCCTTAAAGATCTATGGAAATTTCAGGTTCGAGTCGTATTACCTAGATCAAGATCTAGAGAGCATTTTTGTTTCGTGTGAAAGTGATTACTGAGGCGCTAAAAAGATTGCAGTTGATTGTGTCCCCTAAAGGAATTATTGATGTACTCAATGATAAGGCAAACTCAGGGCATGAATGTCAAAGCTGTGAAATAAAAAAAATATCTACTCAGGAAGATGTGTCTCTGTATTCTCCGTATTACTCAAAAAATTTCCAAACACATATCAGAAAGAAGCACGCATTAAAAAAGTGATTTTGGTCACCGTGAGAAAGCGTTAATGTCTGTAGGGTCGCGCTGCGTTACGTTACGTTACACAACGTTTATTGCGCACTATCATAGTGCGTCAAAACAAAGCGCCCAAAGAACTGCTAAGTCCCTGCGCTCTCGACTAGACTGTTTTTAATCTGTAAGAGTAAAAGTACTAATATACCTGAAGACCGTCATATCTTGCGAAGTATACTTTGACAAACCAAATAATTTTGGCAGTACTCATTTGATAACGAAAATCTCACAGCTTCAAACTACTAAATAAATTCAAAATATTGGACTTCAATTTCAGAAACTTTGGCACCTTCTCAGGAAACGTTTGGGAGTACTTCTGAATAATGGAGCCGCGAAGAGGGTGGGGTTGAGGAGGGAAAGATCTTGCCTGCGCGGAGTGGTGCGCTTTTTCGTAGATAAGTCATGTTCAGTATTAGACGGGTAAAGAAAGCTGGTGATCCAAATAAGTTAGCGGTTGCAATCACTTCTTGATACATTCCACCCCCCACTCCCGGGGTCTAAGCGGGTTTTTGTTCAGTGTCGTGCGGCATAGACAATTGTCTTTCTGGTTCAGTCATTATTCAATCCACCCTTGTAAACGCAATCTCTACCACGACAAACAACGTGGAATAAATAATTGAACGAAATTAACAATGATGCTGAGTCTGTGGTTAGTTTTGGTCGCAAAAAACATTTAAGAAAGCAGAAGCAAAAACGCCTGAAAACGTCTCCATGGGAGCTAGGTAGCCATTGATGAATTTAAGTCTTCGAACAGTTTGAAGTTAAAAAGCCACTATGGGTGGATGAATTTGTTTGCTTTGTGTCTAAGGTGGTTGGACTGGTAGCATCTATGAAGCCTAAAACGTGTTGCTAGATACTTTTGAATGAAAGACGTTGTGTTTGTTTTTTACTCAAACGACTGAGACCCTAAAAAGAACTTAAGGCTGACTGACTGATTAAAAACACCTGTGATTGATGATCGGTTGTAAGAGGATTTGATAGGAAGATTTTTTCTCTCACAGAACCAAAACAACAAGCAATCTGCATTTAGATTAAACTCACACACCTGTAGTGAAAGTCTCGTTGTGGAGTGATGTCTGAGCGAATGATTTCCATGTAAGGTTTGATGCGAAGTCGTTGTATACCGAAACAAGAAGATAATTTCACAACAGTATTTGTCCACTCGTAGTTAGCGCTTTTAACAGGCCAAGCGATTTGCTGGTCTGCTCTACACTGACGCGTAGTGAAACCAGCAGGAAACCTTTGCGTAATTTGTTTGTATGCAAACTGTAACAAAAACAAAGTCGGCGCAAATTATTCTCGTTCTGTAATCAGTGGTCCGGTGCTAAACAAGAGAGTTTTATAGAACAGTTGTCTTAGTCCAGTTGCGTTCATTGCGTAGTTGTTTTAAGTCGGTGAAGCGCTCTTCTTTGAAAATGGAGAAGGCGGACTCATTCTACTTGGTTCTTTTTCCATTCTGAGACGATAAGGGCGTCTGCTTTAGACCCCGATATTTACCGTCCAAGCAAGTGGCGAACGTTTTTATAACGTAACGGTGAATTCAGTTAAATCCGGTTTTTGAAAATGCGAGTAGCGTGCGAGATTTTGCAGCATCTAGGAGTGTAAAAATGCAAAGCCGGTTTGGGCTTTGTCTGTCCGCCTTAGATGGTCTTATCATCGCATTTTAACCGGCCGGTTTCTATAACAAGCGAGCTGCATTGACAATAAAGTAATATAACTCATTTACAATTGGGTACCCAAAGAAATCGCAGGCTTGGCGCAAAAGCTGCGTTTGTTAAGGGATCGACAGGCTATGATATAAATCCAAATCGAGGAAAATAAATTGTTGTCTTTTAGAAATTGTTGTCGAAGGTTGTTGTGTGAAGCTGAGTCTAAGAGCGTTAAGTCTAGTTTAAAACCTCTACAATGTTCAAGTTAGGCGCAACGTTCTTAACATGGGTATTCCACTCTGAGAAAACTGTGGTGACTTAGGCGATCCTAAATTTTTGCTTTTGACTTAAAAACTCCACAACTGCCGTAGTTATATATCCAGTGATGATTAGGCGGCAATCCCGTTAGTTTGCAGTCCTGATTTGTTGGCCAACCTTACAAACTCAGAGTGTTGGAAGCACTCGAAAGATTGGCCTGACATGATTATAACTTACCCTAAAATTCCTCGCTTCAGCTGATTTGCTATACTGACTTCTATTTTTCTATTCTTTCAAAATATAAAGCAGTAACTACAACACCAAGAGAGCTATTTTTAAACAAGAAAGTGGACCGAAAGCTGTGCGGTTTTTTTCGAGAAGTCACTGAGAGCTTAATACATGATCAGATAAATTACAAGTAGCAAGCAATATGAGTCCATGTAAAGTGCTTTGAGAGTATTTCGGGTGCATTAAAGCAAACAAATTTCATTGCCGCCTATTACAACATTTAGAAACTTCGCCGATTTGTCAACAATGAGGCCTTCTTTTCATGAGTAGCTGGATTTCAAATTCAGATCATTTGTTGTCCATATTTAACATCTGTCTGATCTAGGGCTCGATGGATTGTAACGTGTTTATGTTAGATACACCAAAACCGCATGCGTGCTATTGAATTGCTTGGAACACATTCTGCATTCGGCACTTAGCTGATAAAGCCTTGCGAGGACCAGTATTTTGATGTTTACCAAATGCTGAGAAGCAGGAGAGCAATTATGCTTAAAAACTATGATCTTGCCTGAGGAAAAAGACAAATTTTGATTAAAACGCTAAACTTATTAAACATTATAGGTTTGATTTAGACTTTGCTCCGCTGAGTTTTTGAGATGAATAACCCATCATTCTGTTTGGCATAGTTAAAGAAACTTTGCTAAACCTGTTTTCAAATCTCAGAATCTTCAATGATATAGTTGAAGAAACGCTTTAATGATGCACTGTCTATTCTCGAATAGCATCAGTCAGATCTTTCATGAGATATACTTTTCTAAAATCCATTAAAGATATTATAAAATCGTTAAAAGTCTTGGAAAAAAAGGAATCAACGGTCGGATCGATGATGACATTAACTTTGATGCCATTTCCGTGGGCTTTTGCAATTACCACCCCATAGATCGTTTGCCATTTTTAGAGTCACATGACATTCATTTACGATGTTACACCGCCGTACATGTACAGTGATTAATTTAGCAACCAATCATGATAATATATCTTGTGTAAGGTATAGTTTTTGTTTAATCAGATATTCTAAACTAAAACTAGGTGGAAATTCGGTTGAAAAACATCATCTTAGATACAACAGTGTCATTGCGACTGGATTTCCGCCGTTTTATTGTTTGCCACAACTGAGTGATGTTCACAGCACGTCCAACAACAATGCCTCAATGTCAACCGTTTGATTGAATCAAATCCTTTGACATCAGTCAATGCAACGAAAAGAACTTTTTATCACAACCGTCAATTTGTAGAATGGGCGCAGCGAAAGACTCGACTCGTGTAGTTGGTGTCGTTGGTGTGTCAGGGGCACTTGTGGGTTTATGGAACTCGCGCTCCCAATTTGACCACGCGTAACTTACACAGATTTTATCTTCTCTACTGATTTCTATGGTTCTTAATAATATAACCATCTCATTGACTTTACTTACTTACATGGAATTCCATATGAGGATGTATCAGCTTTGTCGTCGGAATTTCAGTCAGAATTGGTTAAACTTGAACTTGACTCCATTCACAAAGGACGGTTGCATCGAAAATATATCGGAAGGCACTACTTCTAAGATCTTGCCCGCAGGTTCTCAATCAATACAAGACAATAACATCATTTGCATTTAAAAAAACGTTGACGAACTACTTGTCCTGAAATCTTAATGAGCCGTGGTGGGGTCTTCAGTTTTTAATTATTGTTCCAAGCAGCGACGACTTTCTTTTTACTATACATCCCCCCAAAAAATACTATCGATCATTTCTCAAAAGTCCAAGATCTTAACCACAGCACCTCCAGATTCTTATTTCCAGTGGACGTTTTTGGTTAACAAACATATCTTTGAAGGGTTGATTAAAACAATGCATTTAATACTGTTTCACAAAAAGGTTTGTGAGTCAAAACAAGTTATCGCTCGAGGGCATCGTTCACTAAAGGTGTGTTCCTAGAAATAGGCCTAAAACCAATTAATAATTTCCAAACAGGCTTTCAGTGATAAACAACTCAATGACTCCCAAAGCTACAGGACTAATTTAGTATAGCTCCTCTTTCAAATTGCTAAAGTATAACGTGAACAGTGAATTCGAACGTTAGGCTTCGACGTTTGAATACACTTTCTTTGTCGAAATATTCCTGTCTTGCTGTTTGCTTTGTTATGATTTCTATGTTTTGTTATTCCCGGGGTTGGCTTTTATACTGCGCATTATATTCTCAAATCTATTTTCAGTAATATTTTTATCTGGAATGAAGATCTTACAACGCAGTCATACCTCAAGGATATAGTTCCGCTTCCAAGTTCATTTGACCCTGATCATGAACTCTCCGATTTTCTCAACGGCCTTGTTGTTATTAAAATGACTTAGAGGAAACCTATTCTCTTATGTTTAATAGAGTTAAAGAGTACTCAGCACTGTTACAACGTGCTTTTTGTGCGCTAGTACATCCGGTTGTATTACACAGTGGTTAATTTCCAGAGCTGACTTCGATGCAACTCTTATGATGATACGTCACAGTATAGGTTGAACACTTTTAAACAACCTGTAGTTCATACTGCTAAAAAAATTATGAACATTTAAAAGACATTTTGAGAGAAATATGGTCGCATCTTAATTTTTTTTTTTTTTTCATTTCAAACGTTTGAAGGTGGTTGTACCTCTGAACGTGCGCCAGTGACAAATTTAATTAGTCTGTCACGTGTGCTATGACTCAGGCCTCTGGCATTACTTGAGCTTAGTGAGAAGTGATAATTCGATTGAATTTTTTCGATTTTTTTTATGAATTTGTATGTTGTGAAATCTTAACCAAAGTTGGAATTGTTCACATCGTTGAATGTGCACAAGTTTGATATTCTTAATTAGGCTGTCACGTCTTTTCCATTGACTCAGCCATGAACAAATGATTTGTGAACTTTTCCTCTTTCGTAGTCATGGTATATTTAATATTCTGCTTCATAGAAAATTTGCTATGTTGTTAACTTAACAGTTAAAGTTCTCTGATGGAAACGAAGTTCCTGGTTTTGTTATCAGAACATATCTCTGTCAGGTTTTCATATTCTTATCGTGGGCAAATGAATGGAACACTGCTTCGAAAGACAACCTTTATCTTAGAACATCTGTAGATATGATGCAAATGGTGAACAAGGCTTTCAAAATCTTTCCATCTCAATCTGATGTGAAAAGACTTGAGCTAATCATAGACGATAAACATTTTATGAATTGACAATGAAAAAAGCGTGCAATAATAAACGTCTATAGTCGAAAACTTCAAAACAATAACCACTTTAATCGACTTCGTCTCTCCAACAATACCCATGTTGTTTTCGTCCAAAACACCAATGTTTTATAGCTTTGATATAGCATTTAACATCAGTTTCAATAGTTCATTCATTGTGTGTGCTCATGAAAGACGCTTGAATTGGTTCTTGTTTTAAATGCAGAACCAGTACATGCCTGAGACACACTTCTTTAGCCACAAACACAAGGACTTAAATATCAATTTGGCCTTTGGGCCAAAGAGCCCACAAGTTCATGATGTCATATTTGGAGATTTGAGACTTAGGATCGATTTTACTTCCCATGGTATCAAGCAAAACCACATGAAAGTTTTGTTCAATAGCCCCCCTTTCGATGTTGGCACGCTAGGGTTTCTCATTCCCACAAACGTAAATTGGAATCACCTTGTGCAGCGTCATAAACAGGAGTGCTTTGTTTTGTCCACAGGGCAAAGAGTAACCACCTCAATCAGGGGTTTGTGTCTGGGATTTAGGATAATTTGCATGGAGTAAATACATTGAAAATAGATCCCTTTATAACTTTTTTACTTGATCTTTTGAGCGCCAGTCAACGTTTGAGCTAAAAAAGCTGGAGAGAGTAATATTTTGGGCTTGTCCCTTGGAATTGTTCTGTGCTTATCATAGATGTCAGATTAGAAATAATTACTTTTAAAAGTGCACAAAAGTCGTGATCTCCATGACAACACCCGCAGTTGATGTTGTAAATTTTTGGTTGAAGAATTGTTTGTTTTTCATGGGAGCCCAAGACTTGGGAAGTTTTTGATACACCAGCACGTTGTTTGATATGAATTACCCGCAGTTGGCAGCAGTTGTGAAAATTGGTTTGATGTTTAGGTCCACCATTCCGATAAAGTTGTGCACCAAAACTTGTGGTCTCTCTGTGACTTAAATTAAAAAATAGTCATCCTGTGCCGTGCTTAACCAGAGCAAGTGACGTAGTTCTAAAACCAACACCTTGTTGAAAACTTTGAAATCCCAAAAACGGGACCAATGAAAGGAGCCGCGTGACGCCATAATTTGAGTCATTTTTTCATTTTCAAAACTAGGAATTAATTTAAACAAGATTAATCCATTTAAAGAAACATTCAGAGCCGTCTAAACCAAAAAGAGAACCAGGATTACTAAGATTAAGCTATTGAAAAGTACGAAATTTGTTCAATACAAATACGCCAATATTTTGGCTCTGATGACATACCTTCACATAATATATTGATCGTTTTCCAACACAGCAACATGCCAAACGATTTTGTAAAATAAACCTCAAATCGCGTTTGTTGCTGAGGTCTTGGAATGCAAGAAATCTGACTGTTAAACGAAAGGGGACACCATTGCTTATTGATGCAAACGGTTGACACGGATTTAGTGGAGAGGCAAGAAAAATTGAGCTGATTCCTTTAGAGATGCTCCATTGAACTGTGACATGTTTTCTTTAAATAATAACAAACAGGAGTGAAGTAATCATGAGCAAGCAGTTATCTTTGTAGTTGTCGTTTCGGTCATAAAACCCTCTGCCCAGACTCTCCTTCTCTCTCTTTCTCTCTCTTTTAATGAAATATAAAACAACGAACTTGTAAAAGGCTGAGAAAAGCCTCTAACTTACACGTTTTGTGAATAAACTTTTTCAATTTATTTTACATGAATACGCTGTAGATTGGAAAAGTCTCCCAAAGTGTAGAGTCGGTCGGAGCCCTTGCAGCAAACAAGGACTACTAAATATTATTTTAATAAATTACATGGTACGTGGTGAAGCTGTTTCGTTTGAAATTGCATATGTGAAAGGCATTTCCAGTCAAGGGGCTGAGCACTTTGCATGAGGCATTTTGCTGGAATACAAACAGCAAATTACTTAAGGGGGTAACTTTCTAGTGAAACTGTGGTGGTGCGACAGTGGGTGTACAACAAGAGAATTTGGTTTTACCAACTGAGTTGATAACGTACACTGGCCACCTCAAAGAGTTTCTAAAGTTGACAACAATCTTAAAATTTTTACGCAAAGATTTTAAATTATTGCTTTAATCTAGCTGATAGCAATAAATTTAACTTTCAAAGCCTTTCTGTTGTGCAATGTCGAGGGGTTTGTGCACTTTGAAGTATTACGCATTTAGCTGGACTACAAACGGCGAGCTAAAGGATGTTTAGCTTCGATTTGACTGAATCTAATACGATGTAAGGTGGAAGGAATCCCTTTAGGGTTACTTCGAGTATCTCAATATTTTGCGTCATAGGAATGCCAAGATATGAGAAATTAAATCAAATACAGGGAGTTGTTGTGTAGTAGATGATTTATTACGAGGTGAGTATAATTACCTACAGCAATCCATCACAAAGTCACGACGGACTGACTGAAAATTTTAATCCTGACATGTTTTGAAACATGTATATAACCACTAAAAATTTATATCAAGGTGTATAGTTTCAAGGACCAATTTTGTCAGTAGTGTTAATATATATGCAAATTTCAGATCTTTGGATGAAACACTGGTTGAAACTTAGGGCAAGAGCACCATATAACCCCATACATAATTTATGCATTCAGACTAGTAGACTTTGTTTTTAAAGTTTTGTCGTGAGAGACAAAGAAGTGGAATGCATAATTAATGTATGGGGTTATATGGTACTCTTTCCAAACTTTGGCTTAAAATGCTCTCATCGTCGAATGTCTGTCATTGTTGAAACATCGAATATAAAGTGTTGTTAGTTTATAAAAACTGATATAGCAGTAAACATTTATTTGGCTTCACGGTAAGACAGTGAATAACCGCATGAAAGGCGCAAAACCACAGAGACTATATATCTTAAAATAGCGAAAATATGAATATAAACTATGAAACTATTTCGCATAACCAAAGTCTCATAATTGAAGTTATTTATTGAAAGGTGTGTCCGAGAATGGAAACTTATATTGGTATTCCACACTTTGGTCCAGAGGGATTGCTTCGATAGAATTTAAGAAGGTCGCGTCAGTTGACTATTTTTCCCGCCATTTTAAAGATGACAATGTTGATACTACCGGGAAGGGAAAATAAGCAGAAATTTGTAGCTCAGAAATCGGATTTTTTTTTTCTTTAGAGTAACATGACTGCATTTATTGATTAGGTAGTAAGTAACTGAAAACCTAGCGGAATGTTTTACGGACGTCGCAGTTTTAGCAACTAATTTGAATTAACTCCAGACAGTTGTTTTGAGTTGTAGATACTTCGCTTCGGTGAACTCTTTCGGCCCATTGCCTTATAAATGCAATGTTTAACTAAAAAAATAACGTTTATGTCAATACCTTTCCACGCACCATCTTATCACTAACAAGGAAATGTATCATTAGGAGGTAGCTACCGCTAGTATTCCAAGTATTTATCAGTCTTAGTGGTTATCAATTTCTTTCGCAGGGGCGTGACGTAGAGACAAACTCGATATTTTTTGTCGCCAGATCGACGCTGGCAATATCATTTACTGTCGTGATTGTCTTAATTGACTATCCATCTAGTGACCAAGTTGCATGGAAAGGAGGGAAAGTCTGATTATTTTATTCTATCTTTCTGATAGGACACAGGGACCTAATTGAAGACTCGGATTAGCACGCAATAGATACTAAACCCTGTTTCCCTTACTAACTCAAACCTAGAAATGTTTTTTTCTAGTAAAAATTCTAATGGTGAACCAGCTAATACAAACAACGTTTTGTAGCGAAGAGAAATCGTGATAACTCTGTTTCTAATATGTCTATCTGTTGG